TGGTTTTCTCCGGTGGGGAGTGAAGCCAGATTGCTTCTCTTCTGCCATTTTGGTGAGCTGCTTTCACTTTTAAGTATGTATTTTTTCTAATTAACAAAGTAAAATTTGACCATTTTAGAAACTACAGACAATTACAGACAAAAATATCTTCCAAAATTCACACATTAAAACATGAGCTGTATTCAAACTTGGTATATTTTCTTTCTTTCATTTATATGTGCATGGATGTGTATATGTACTTAGTTGAAGTCATATTATTAATATATGTATAATCCTGAATCCTGAATTTTCACCTTGAACATTTTCACATTATCAATAATTAGTCAGAAACATACTTTTTAATGTTGGCATATAACATTATGTAAGGTCACCATAAATTATTTAACTATATACCTACCCTAGAATAATAGAATCTGTTATTTCTAGTTTTTCATTATTAAGAAACACTGTTGGGAACTTCTATGCACACAAATCTCTACTTCTGATGATTACCTTAAGGCAGAAAAGAATTTGAAGGCAAAGAACATAAATATTTTAAGAATCTGATTGTATTTTGCTAACTGGCTTTCAGAAAGGCTGAGTCAATTTAACTCCCTATGTATGAGAATGAGCCATTCCTCTCAACCTTGTCAATAAGTATAATTTTTAAACTTTTTTTTTTTGCTAATAAGACAGACACAACTTACCCTATTTTACCAATTCTAAGATGCACATTTTTCACAGTTTAACATATCTGAAATTAGGGATAGAAGTGTATTATAATCAAGGATGTGTTTTGCTTTATTTGGCAGCATTTTTTTTCTTAAAGGCACATAAAAATGATGCATCTTATACTTGATGATATTTTATATTCAATGAAGTACAGTAGTATCTCATTTAATTTTAATTTTGACCACTAGTGAGTAGCCTGATTTATATATAACCATCTCAGTATATGTTTCAATATCCCAGTGAATTTTTAAAACCATTTTTAATTGTGGTAAAAACCCCCACATAACATAAAATGTGCATCCTAACAATTTTTAGCATGCAGTTCAATAGTGTTAACTATATTCACACCGTTGTGCAACAGATCTCTAGAACTTTTTCATCTTTCACACTGAAACTCTGTACCCATTAAACAACAACTCCCCTTTCCTTCTCTCCCTAGCCCCTGACAACCACTATCTACTTTCCGTTTCTATGAGTTTGACTATTTTAGATGCCTCATATCAGTGGGATCATATGATAGTTGTTTTTTTGGTTCTGGTTTATTCATTAGCATAATGCCCTCAAGGTTTATCCATGTTGTAGCATGTGTCAGAATTTCCTTCTTTTTTATAGCTGAGTAATATTCCACCCAGTGGGATCATAAAAATCAATAACAACTGGAAAAACTGCTGACCCTTTGATTCTGATAGCACACCTAAGCAACTATAAAGCAAAGTATGGACTGGGGCCCCTCGGGGTTCTCAATTTCCAAAAATAAACGTTGACTTATTTTTGAAATACAAAGAGCAAAGTGAAATCAAGGACACAGGTAATAAAATCAAGATACTTCTTAAATCATATATGCTGCCCTGGTATGATTTCCCACATTTTTAAGGTAGACTTTATAAACACAGGTATGGTGATGTCACAACCCTTCACCAGGAAACTAGGCAGTTTTTAATTGTGCTAAAAAACCCCACATAACATAAAATGTGCCATCCTAACAATTTTTAGCACGCGGTTCAATAGTGTTAACTATATTCACACTGTTGTGCAACAGATCTCTAGAACTTTCAAGAACTCTCTAGAAATTTCTGGAATATGTAAATTCCTGCTTCAAGAAAAATAATTGTGTGCTGACATGGAAGGTGCAGCATGGAGGCCATAACCGCAGGTGGAGCAGTCCAGGATGAGGAGCCACAGCAAAACGTGAACTATTCTAAAACCAAATGTACTGACGGTGTCATTTGTCATTTAAAATATGCCATTATAAAATTGATGAAAATTATATGGCAATAACCTGAAGATGGAAAACTATATTATATTATAGCTATATTTAACACTATTGGCAAGATCTTTTAATTTAATTTAAATCCTAAAATTCCAGAAAAGAAAATTTAATATTTATACAAGAAGATCTAATTAAAATATGGCTCAAATGGTCATGTTTATGGTTGATCACAGAATAAAGGGATCTGATGTCTCAATGCTACCATGATGGTCATTTGATTTATTTTCTCTAAAAGTGAGAAGAGGAATACAGTATTAGAAATAACACTTAAACATAGAAAGAAAAGAATGATATAAAGAAAACCGTATCTCCACATTGGTTAAACATCATAAATTGCAATTATTATTTATTTTTGTTTTTATTTTCTGAGCATGTCTACTGTTAAAAATAGAAAGAAAGGAAAAATCCTAAGTCCTAATTTCTGTCCTACTGAGATACACATTTGATCAGTACATAGAATTGGGAAAATGTATTGCAAATTGACTTATTTCATTTTCAATTTTTAAAGCTACATATTATTGAAGCGATGATTCATGTCTTTTTCCTCTCTGATATAATTTTGGAACATGCATTTTATCTGTAAACTTTGTAGACATAAAATACATGTTTATTGTAGAAAGATGTAAGATAAACAAAAGAATAAAAGATCATGGTGTTCATGTTTTACATTTCATAAAATATAATGAAACTCTAAAACATCACTTCTAACGATATGCAGTGGGATATTTTAACTATATTAACTATTTCTGGCCACCGATTTTTTACAATTAGTATAAAACTACACTAATACGAACATCTACATATTGTAAAATTTGCTCATATTCTTATTTTTTCATAGCAAAGAAATTCCAAAGGTAGGCAATGCTGGGCACAAAGGTATTAAGTGTTTTTTATTGTTTTTAATGAGACACACTGGGCTCTGAAAGGTGGACAATTAAACCCTCATTAGCAGTCGCTTAGATTGTACTCGTCCCAGGTACTTGCCTAAACTGAGTATCTTTTTTTGAGTATTGCTTCTTTTTCCTTGTGTTAGCACAGATTTTTTTTTTAAAAGCAATTTGAATTTCTCTATTGGAACTGTGCTGCACTCTGCAGCTCTTCCTTCTCAGCCCTCCTTACTGTCCCTCCTTCACAGTGCCCAGCTTCTGTCACAACCTGAAGCCCCTCCCAGCCCTGGCTGGCCCTCCCTCTATGCTTCACACACGTTCTCCTAACGCCTCTCCTGCACGTCTCATTCCACCCTGGCATCTGCTCTTCTGGGACCCACCTAACTCGGGGACTTCGGAAATCTTTTCGGTATTTGCTGCAGTGATTGGTTTATTTAGGTTTCTTCCCCTTTCACCAGTTTGGATATTTATACGTCCCTAGACAATCTTCTCTGCTCAACATTTCATATTTTATGACCGCAGTTGTTCATGACACCATCTAATAGTTTTTAGCTTGCTAGGGTCTTTAGTTAATACTGCACATTCTGTATGCTTTGCTTCTTTCCTCGATTAGCCCCACCAGAGCTTTATGTGTTATTAGTACTTCCAAAGACTTAGTCACTGTATTTGTATCAATGTTACTGCTTTAATACTTTTATCTGGGCATCAAATGGGGCACATCGAGCAATGTAGCTCACTACAATACACCGTAAGTCAATGCTGGAACAGGTCTCTAAAGGCTTTTGTTCTTTTCTTTTTAAAATTACAACACACTTTAATGAAAACTGAGCAGGTCAACAGATAAGTCCTCACTAGAAATGGTCCCCACCTCTGGTGATGATTTACTTTGCAAAGATTTGGCTTAGGGGGGCTCAAGAGCTGCCTCCAAATGTGCGAGGGGCTGTCACGTGAGAGGGAAATAAGCCGCGTTCTGAGCTGCTGAAGGGGACGGAGCCCCAGCCAGTCAGCGGGATCTCCAGGGAGGCAGCTTTCGGTTAAGGAAAGGAAGCAGCTTTGAAAATGTGACAGAATGGGCTGTCCTGGGAGGCAGCAGGGCTAGGGGAGTGTCTGAGCTCAGGAGGGACTCAGGCAGAGGACAAGCCAGCTTCCTCGAGGCCTTGCACGGGCTGATGCAGCTAGTGCAGGATAGCCACAGCCTTTAGCGGCAGACGGATTCTGAGACGGCCCTGGTGACCCTGCCTCCCGGTCCTCACATCCTCGTGTAATCCCCTCTCCCCGAGTGTGGGTGGACCCTATAACTTGCTTCTGACTTGTATAGGGAAAAGGTTATGGGATGCCACTTTGGCGATCATTTGCCTAAGACTCTAAGCAGCCCCCTCTCTTGCTGGCTTTGATGGAACGCTGCCGCATGGAAAGGCCCACACAGCAAGGAGCTAGGGCAGCCTCCTGCTAACAGCTGGCTTAGAAACTGTGAAACATGATCTGACAGGCCACAGGGAGCTGAATCCTGCCAAAACTACACAAGCTTGGAAGCAGATCCTTCCCCACTGAGCCTCGGATGAGACCACGGCCCCAGCTGACACCTTGACTGCAGCCTTGTGAGACCCTGAGCAGAGGACTCAGTTAAGCTGTGCCCAGATTCCTGACGAACAGAGAGGACAAACAGGTGCTGCCGTAAGCTGCCAAGCTGGTGGTGACATTGTTATATGGCCATTAATTAATACACCCTTCCAGCTCTATGAGTCAGTCATCACCACAGAGATTCCCCACCACCAAAAACAAACAAACAAAAAACCCCCAAAAAAGCCTGTATCAATGCAAACACATTCTTGTGACCATTCGATATAAAAAGTAGTCCTGTTGACATCTGACAGGAATAGCAGATGTGACAGCTTGTAGCCTGTTTCTCCACTGGGGGCTTTCTGCACCTGGCACAGAGATGTCTGCATGGACACAACCCTGATCTCTTCCAATCTCCCTGAGCAGGCTTCTGTAAAATACAGGCCACTCCGTTCCCTCAAGTCATTTATTTTTCTTTCCTTTCTTCCCTCAAAAACCCACTAGCAAAGACACAAGTTTTACATATTCTATTGTCTTTAGGACAACCAGATCCTGTCTATAAGAAAACTTACCATACCCAGGAATATCATCTCCTCTTCTCTTTCTTTTTCAGTTCTCTTATATTGATGGAAACCTCGCCAAATCTAAAAACAAACACACAGTTACTTGTTTAATCCCTAAGAAAATAAAGAAAACATCGCCGTGCAGTTTCTCCCATAGAAAGTGTACATCTCAAATGTCATAATGATCATAAACTCGAGGTTGTGCATGTGTGGGTTGATGGAATATTTTTTCTTCTGAAATCACAGGCAAAGTGCTTTTTTTAAGGAGTGAATGACAGAACTGACCTATAATTCTCATTAGTGAGATTCTCCTACCTGAGTTTCTTCAAGAGAAACTTCTAGATAGCAGGAGTGTGAGGCTATATCTAAGGGTGGTACTTCATGATTTAAAAAGAAAAATGTCCCAAGTAATGTCGGGAAATACAACTTAGTAACTTCCAAGAATTGTATGACTCAAGCTTTTAACTCACTTTTAAATGCTAAAACTTTATATCTGCACAGAAACTTGGAAGAAAGAAACAATCGCTTATCCTTCTTCTCCCATTCCTATTGAGGGACAATTGGGAACAGAGAGTCCTGATCTTCCGGCTGTTTTACGTCCTTGCAATTATTTTACCTCAAACCTAATTCAATTTGTGTCAAACTGCCATCTTCTGCATCTTCCCATAAGTAACCCAGCCTCCATCAGAACAAAGACAGGGCTCAAGTCAGTGGTGGTCATATGACAAAGGGAAGGAAACCTCGGGATTCCTTCTAGAAGGATCACTGATGTTCTGGTTTTTAGTGATGGTTGCTGGAATTTCCAAATGGTATATATTTCTGCAAGCTACCAGGTATTAAGGTTTGCTGCCCCTTCTGTAATTACATGTCCATGTGTGAACGCAGTTTTAAAAAAATGTGTTAAGGATTTAGATCCTCACCGAATTTTAGCAACATTCTTTCCAGCAATTATCAATGATCTTTAGCAATATTTGAATAAAATGTCCTGCATTTAATAGCTATTTAGAATAAAAATTTTAAAATGTGACCAAGTTTGGTTCATGATTTCCCCAGAGTAAGTTAATACATCTTTCTAGAATTTAATCCAGTTCTACTAAAGGTGGGATGTGGGCGCTTTGAGTTTTGAAGCTCACCCCTAAAGCTCACATGCATGCATAGAGCACACCTTGCCCCCAACTCCAGGAGCCCCGTGCCCGTACCTTCTGAATACAGAGTGCAGCGGCCTTGGTGTCTGTCACTTTCTCACCGAGTGCCTTGGACAGCTTCGCCCTGTACTCTTGCAGATAGATTTGCTTCATGAATAGCGCTCGTAGGCGACCTTGCCGTGCCCTCTCAGCAATCTGGATCAATTTAACAGCCTCTTCTATGGGCATACTCTTTGCTGAATATTTCTGCAACAAACAAACAAAAGCCCTAAACACAGTTACCCAGTTAAGATGAATCAATGTTTAAGCATGCTAACCACATCAGTGGATTCCACACACATCCCATGCTTACTTACAATATAGCCCTGCTTAGATTATATTATTATATATTACATATAACATTATTATATATGATACATATTATAATATATAATAATATATAATATATATATCCCCATGGTTGATAAAGAGTGTGAGTGCTGCACTACACTATTCGTTTTTCTAATGGATTATGTGTATTTTGATAATATGCCATGATCACGCTGTGACCACAAGTTTGAGGACCCCATAGCTTTCCCCTACCCTTATGAACAAAATACCAACTAGCTCCACGATAGTATTTTAGGCTGGCAGCAAATGATACTAGACATGTCAATAAAATGGATTTGGTAAAACTTGAAGGTGCTATCAGTATTTGCTTAACTTGATAGTAGAAACACAGAAATTAAAAGTGTATCTCTGACACAAGAATTTAAAATGTGAAATACATGCAAAGTGAAGTGCTGAGTTTAAAGTCCACCGTGGAACACCTGGTAAATAGGACTGACGCTGAGATCGTCCCGGGACCATTGAATTTCACGTGTGGAACCCCTCCAGGATCTCTAAATCTGCATGTCAAAACATCCAGCATGACAAGTACTGTTAAAACAGAAAAATCAGGGATTGTGCACTAAAATGTTGTTCTGGGAGCTCTCAGGTGGGGTTTGTGGCAACCCAGTTGGGCGAGGGGCTGTGTCAGTTTTTGAGGAGAGGGGACAAGAGCCAGGGCTCTGGGTGCATCCTCGGCTGTGTGAGCTCTAGACAGGCCCAGAGGTAAGGCCCTGCCATTGTTCCCGGATGAGGGGGAAGCAGTGCACGGGGCCTGGCTCAGGGGGATGTCGAGGCAGCAAAGCACAGGTGGAGTCCTTTCCAGGCCCCAGAGGGCAGCTACTGCTGCTGACCCAGCACAACTGCAGAGGGACAGTGGGCAGGAGAAACTGCAAAGAGGAATTTTTAGGATTTTACCATAGTGCATGCAACGTAACTTCCCTTCTCCATTTTCCCCTATAAAATCCTCAGGGAACTCTGCATGGCTCAGCACTGCCTGGTGCAGAGGGAATAGATGAAGTGGGAGTGCTTCGTTCTGACCAACGTGTGGACAGAGAGCACAGACACAGGAGCCCAAGGGTAAAAGGATGGCTGGATGATGCTTAAGCAAGTTGGCCTTGGGGTCGACGTCAAGCAATTCACAATGCAGAAGAGAGGCGGTAGATTGTGGGAGAGGCACGGGAAGCAGAGGTGGCCTCATGTTAGGTGGGTGCTGTGGTCTCAATGTATCCTCCAAAGTTTGTGAGTTGGAAACTTAATCCCCAGTGCAACGGTGCTGAGAGCTGGGACCGTTAAGGGGGCTGTGGTCCTCTGCCCTCAGGAATGGAGTCAGCCTGTAACCCCAGGAGCAGGTTTCTGATAAAAGGATGCATGTGGCCCCCTTATCTCTGGCTCTCTCACGGTGTCTCTCACCATGTGGCGCCTTCCCCACCACGTTATGACGCGGCAAGAAGGCCCTCACAAGATGGACTCCTCAGTCTCGGACTTTCCAGCCTCCAGAACCAAGTGCAAAATAAACTTCTGTCGTCTGTAAATCATCCAGTCTGTGTTATTCTGTTACAGCAACACAAATGGACTAAGAGACTGGGTCAGGAAAGGTTTCTTGAAGGAAGCTATGCCAAGCTGGGCTCTGCCGAATGGGCACCACTTTGCACGTGAGGAGAGCAAGCCCTCCGTCCAGCATGGGGCGTGCCGCTGCATAGGAGACAGCAGTGGGCTGGCTGGTGCTGGGCATGCACTTCCCCTGTCTTCTGAGGTGGGCAGACAGGGCACTTTCTTCTCCTGCCATTCCCAGATTACACTGGGAATCTTCCTAATGCCACACGGCCCAGGGTGGCAATACCCAGTGAGGCCTGTTTATAGACAGACCATGTGGCCTGCTACCGGGTGGGCCCTGGTCTGCACCTGCAGTCTCAGCACAGTCACTTGTGGAACCTCCTTCCACTCTGCAGTGCCCCGCTTCGGGCGGTCAGTTGCCTCCTTACCGCTTGCGCCATGAAGGCCAGCCAGAGGAGGGAGGCACTGATTTCACAGGCAGTGAGTCACCGAAATGAACGAGTGGACCAGTCAGAGGTGACCAGACAGGACAGGGAGACGACGACAGCCCACCAGGAGGCTGCGTGGAGATCACTGCAAGTGTCAGGACTAAGACGCTGTGAAAACGGGAGGAAGGTGGAGCTACACAGACGCTGGGTGGGGACAGAGAAGGTATTGGGGTAAAGAACCAACAGGATCGTGCTCCTTGTTTCCAGACAGGTCTTTAAGAATTTTTCTTTTCCTGTCTCCAAAGACAGTCCATTTGAGGTGACCCAAGTGTCATCCAACTTTAAGTTATAAAAGTTCAATCATCATTTTTCGATTTTCAAGTTCCCAGTCAGTTAAGTCAGCACTTAATTAATTTACATGAACAACATTTAGCTTCTGACTTCAGCTCGGTTAATTTGAGATGGAAAATGAAACTGAGTTGATAATCAACTTAGTCTTAGAGACACTGATTTAAGTAGCAAAGCATTACATTCTGATCTCTATTTCTCAGCTCTTGAAACATAATGATTACGTATCACCAAAAATATGTCCTAAAGTTATGCAACTTCTTATATACCGTGTAATAAAGGGGAAGGGGCGACTCTCTCTTTAAATCAAAAATAACCTAATTGCTTCTCACACAGTTAGGAGCAGCGGCAAGAGGAGGTTCTACGGATTATGGAATAACGTCTGTTAAGATGATATACAGACCAGGTCCTTTGTAGCTAATCCACTCTCGGCCAATATCTGAGCAAGGATTTTCTCTCTTTCTTTTATCACTTCCACCTTCTCCTTCAAAAAGTACTTGGGTATGGGAATGTCTAACTGTTGCTAGAGAAGAGAAAGAATAAACAAAAAAGCATTTTTGTCATGGGTCCAGAACTCAAATCCATTTAAAATATATGGCGAGGACGGATGTGTGTACTAGAGACTCACTCCTCTTCCCATTCCCTTTCGGGCGACGGCGAGGCCAGAGGAGGGAAGAAAATGCATTTCTACCAGGGAGACAGAAACAGTCAAAAGGAAAATCATAACCGTGACCCTTGTTGTAATCACTAAAGTAAAATCTCAGGAATTCTTATCAATTAGGCCTCAGCTAAGGATTACTGAATACATTTCTTTAAAGAAATACAGTATTATCTCATACTACCTGAAATAATGATTCAAATTGGGATAGCAAAGTATCGAGCTGCAGAGATCATTAGCACATCTGCTGTTCATATTTAAATGGTCACAATTTTTTCTAATATTTTAGAAAACCATATTTTTTTAACCAGAATTACCCTGTTATGAAAATCATTTGCAAAATTAATTTGCTTTATTATGAAACATTTTTATACAATAAATATAAGCTTCTATCCTTTGCTTGTGCATATTACCAAATATTTCAAATTAGTGGTGAGAGGAATGTTTCCCAGTCCAAGTTCAGGAGTCAGGAGTGCAGATGTGCTACTAGAGGACTGGCCAATCCCACTGAGGGATGTTATCCTAGACGCCTGGTCAGACCGGCCTGGGCGCTTTCTGGTCAACCAGCTGACCACGCAGCAGAGGATTTTTGTCTCTGGGCTCAGCTCCCCTTCCCTCCAATTCTGGGTGTGACTCCCCACACCCTTCCTCCAGCCTGGGGAACGGTGGACAGGACTTCCCTGACCCGGCATTACAGACTAAGGGGGGTATCATTTTTAGGACTTGGTGGGACAGTATCCCCATGATTTCCGGGAGGTGGCAATGGCTTTTGAATACCAAAACTTTCTGCTGATGGTGATTTGGGGTGATCTGAGAGTGAACTGCCAGGGCCCAGTGGGGGAGTACGGCCTGGGGATAGAGAACGGTCAGAGAAGAATGATTCTACTTTTATCTAATGTGGGTTTATTTATGAATCAGCACATTCAATTGTTGTACTTTTACAGCTTTTAAGACAAAACCTTGTTGGCGTGGCTCTCTCTGATCTATTTCGTACATAAAATTAAAGTTAGGATTTTGAGGGTGAGGAAACAGCAACTGAGAATGGAAGACAGATACCAGTTGCTGGACCTCATCCATGGCATGGTTTGTGTCCAACACAGATACCATGGGGTTTCTAATGCTCTGTGGAGCAGAGACACCCTCTCACCCACTACATGTTTCTCTACATTAGGAAGACCTATTAGGAAAGGTTCTTTAGGTGGCAGGTTACAGAAATGGTCTTCTGGCTCATTTGGTTAAGGAAGGATTTGGGGGACATCTCAGGAACCAAGGGCAGGAACACAGCTGGGTGCTTGTCAGGACAGGGATGTGCCCAGGGGTGACGGTGCCTTCAGGGTTCTGCCATTTATTTCTGCTTCTCTTGATGAATCTGTTTTGTTTTCCCTTTTTTTTCTCACAGGACCATGACAATGACCCAGCCAGACGGAGTATCAGAAAAGAACCCAGGAGCCTGGCAGCAGATGTCCAAATGCTCACAGGAGGGCGCTATGGTTACCAGATGCCAGCAGGGAGACAGGAGACAGCTTAGAAGGACAGAGAAAGAGCGAGCTCTTCTTTGGTGTCTGAGGCTCAAAGGCCCGTAGCCATACGAGCCATAGATCCACCTGGGTCACCACTGACCCAAGCAGAGGAGGAGAAGCACCCATCTGGGAATAAGGAACCCACCACCAACAGGCTACAGAGAGAGACTTCCCATGCATGGAAACAGAGTAGGGGCGCTGCTATTGGACGTCAGGAGGGTTTTGCTACAGGCTATTCACGAAAGGGCCAGCCTACTCCGTCCCAGCAGTCCCAGGTAGACACCATGATGTCAGGTAAGACCACAACAAACTCAGTGCCTAACGGTCCCAAGAACTGTGCAAAAATTAGTCTGCACCAAAAACAGAGGGAGCTCAATCCTTGTCCATGACCTATGGTGTAATTGAAGGGAAATGTTTAAATTTTTAACACATCAAACAACTAGTAAATATGTCTAAAAGTCTGTAGAGTATTGGGTACCAGCCTACTTATCTTATTTACAACAAAAAGAAACCAATAAGAAAAAAAAAAGAGTACTTACAGGCGCCAACTTTAGATCCTGTAAGATGTCATCAAAATAATGAAACTCGGTTAATTCCAATTCAACCATTTCATTCTTCAGTTCCAGGATGCGGCCCATCACCCCATCCAGTACCGTCCGGATCAGTGTTCGTTTCTGTGGGTGGACCATCTTGTCATAGACAGTCTCCAGGTTTCTAAAGATCTGTACATATTTTATGTAGAAGGTGGCTAACATTTGGAAGAAGAAAACTCGATTTTTTTGTGGTTCTGTCATCTTCTGAGACTCTTTATCAAGCAAAGAATTGAGGGCTTCTTGGGTCTGATGCCACATCTTATTATACATTCTGAGAGAAGACAGGGAATTTAGAAAATATAGCATGTAAAAATAACTTTGTAACACACACATACTGGGAGTCTGGTATAACAAAACATAATACATAATCAGGTGTGAGCTAAGAATACCATATGTACTTGCAAAGCTCTTTACACAGGTTATGTCCTGTTTTGATATACGTGTGATTTCTGAATGTGACCGCTGCCATTATTACCAAACAGTTGTAAAAGACTTTTGTCTAAATGATATAAAGATGTCCCTCACTACACCCATAATGCCAGTATTATTATATCCATTTAAAAGATGTAGTAGTTGATATCCAGAACAGTTAACAGATTGGTCCACTTACATAGCTAGTGGAATATAAGTTGGAACAATCACTTTGGAAAGTAATTCAGCATTATCTTTTAAAGTTGAACATATGCATACCCTGTGAACGAACAGTTATATCCTAGAGAAACTCTTGTAAATATGCACCAAGAATGATCACAGTAGCATTTTTATAATGCTAACAAGAGAATGGATAACAAACTGTAGTGTATTCACCAATGGACTATTGGTGGACTAATGGACTACTGGACTAACTGTAGTGTATTCACCAATGGACTATTGGTGGACTAATGGACTATTGGACTAACTGTAGTGTATTCACCAATGGACTATTGGTGGGCTATTGGACTAATGGACTATTGGTGGACTAATGGACTAACTGGAGTGTATTCACCAATGGACTTTTACACAGCAGTGAAAAAAATGAATGGATGACCTACAGATCAGGCAACGACTAAGACTCTAGTGTAAGAAGTGAGGCGCAGACTGCGGCTGGAGGAGGCCTCAATTGACCTCACTCACTGGACTCCTTGGATCTCGTTCCAGCGAGCTGAGTCAGTGGAACGAGCAGGAAGCCAGAGAGTGGGAGAAGAGGGTGACAGAGGTACGTGCTCCCCTGCTCCCTCCCTGCACGGCAGTGAGGGTGGGGGCACCTTCTGCATCACGGAGCGCAGGGTGTGATGGCTCTGTCATGACTGGTCCAGGACACCACACCACCACTTGCCAGCTTCCCTAGACTCTGTCCACACCAATACTTTCATGGCAGAAACATTTCCCCCCACATTTTGGGTAGTTTGGGGCTGTGCTTTCACATTCAAGAACCGGGACTGGAAAGTGAACTGGAAGTTGGGCGTGTCTGGGAAGGGGTTCCACCAGGGGGGTGAGTGCGCAGAGCTCTGACCATTGACGTCCTTACGGCAAGGGAGAGGCCCGCGGATGTTGGTGTCTGTACAGTCTTTATGCTGAGGGGGGAGGGTGGCCCCAACCCTCTGATGGAAAGCAATCAGGGGAAGGGGCCGAGGATACTCGCCTCCCCTTTGCCCCAGCCTGGCTGTAGTTCCTATGCTTTCCTGTGCCTGGCATCCCCGAGTCCAGGCTGCCTGCATGTGCCATCTTCTGCCAGGCTGGGAGCGGCTTAGCGCCCACTTACACAGCTCGGGTGTATGGTGATCGGCCACCTAGCTGTGCCATACACGGATCTGCAAGCAGCCCTCACGTTTCAGCCCCATCGCAAAAGGACCAGGGCGCTGCTGGCTTTTTGAACCCGCCTGCTGGCCCTCAGGTCCCCGTTCTCCATCCTTCCTCTATTTCCTCTCCTCTGCATCCACTTTCCCTTCTGCATTTCTTGATATCTCTTCTCCAATGCTCAAATGTGCTCTTTGCTCTCCTGCGTGCACAGCCTCTTAAATCCTTTATTGCCATTTCAGAGACAATTCCAGAGTCCATGGAGTTAAGTGCACTTGTTCAACCTGCCCTGTTTAACTAGCACTCCCTCACCTACCTCCCAAGGGCATTACTAAGCATTCCCCTCCAGGCACCCTCTGCTCCAGGCCACCACCTGACAGTCCTCAGATGTGCTTCAGACTTCCCCACGAAGGACCACTGTAACCGTCATTTATTGAAGCACTGGCCACACACATGTGCTTCTTTTCATCTCTCTGGCCAAAAGTTAAAAGCGTACTTAAAAGCCTTTTCGGTTCAGATGACAATGATGACAACAACGGTAATAGCTTATAAATAATAACTCAGTTGATCCTCACATAACCCTAGGAGGAAGGTATAATTGTCACCCCAGTTCGCAAATGAGGAAACTGAGGCATAGAGAAGTTATTGCTCAAAGTCATAAGATGTGAATGTAGGATTTGTGCTTTCAACTCTGACCCCCGAGTTCATGCTCTGAACTGCTAAACTTTATCGCTTCCATTCGCTGGAAGAAAGCAAATGAGGAATGAGTCATGTGGCACAGATGTGAAGACACAGCAAACAAAGGCTGAGTTTATAAATAAACCAGAACTCTTCTTTCCCCACCGAGGTGGGAGACTGAATTCTGCCTGGAACTCCATCACCAGTGCGTCCAAGGACCAGATTTCTCAAAACTTAGCAACATTTAGAAGATATTGCCAGTGAAAAAGCACTCTGCCAACTTTATCATAAAAGAGAAGGTTATTATCAGGCAATTAGAACTCTGGTTAGCACAGGACAATTGCTGCTTGCATAATTAGTGACTAATAAACAATGTTATTCACTAGGAACAACAACAACAACCATCTCTCAAAAGAACAACAATAAAAGCAACATCTTACGCCCGCTCAAAGCGCCTGGCCCATTCCGGCATTTGGCGTGTCAGCCTCAGAGAGACAAGCAGAGAGGAGGCGAGGGACCGAGGAGCGGACGGGCTTCGTACAACAGTAAACAGCAGCTATCAAATACCTGCTTGGAGAACATAAAATCAGGGAGGGGATAAGGAAGTTGAGCACGGTGTTGGTTTGCCAAAGCCCAGACTCCTGGAATCCGAGGAGGATCAGTAACTCAAGGCTTGTGGGCCTGAGCGGAGACACAGGCTGAACACGTAACAGTCTAACACACTAACAAAACTGTCAACGTAAAACATGGGAACAGTGCTCAATTTGTTTTGTGGACTAAATAGGGTTTGGGACTTAAATCTGCCAGGACAACAGGAAAGAGGAAAATTACAGGCTATTTTGTTGAGAACTCAGACCTGAAATTCCACTTAGAAAGCAGAACTCAGTCCAGATGAAAAGAATTGCTCCCTCCCATCCAGGAGGGTCATCGCAGGAATGCTTGACAGTTCACCCTGAAAGAGAGCTTAACCGAACACAGCAGCAGATCAGTAAAAACCAGAGCTTATTTCCAAAGATGCCAAGAAGATGCCTGAAAATTTCAACTTACATCACAGGCCTGATTCAAATGACCCGCCCCCCACATACACACCAAGGAATGGACGGACGATGAGGACGTCTCCCACGTGCCAAACAGCAGAGAACTCACATATCTTCAGTGCAGAACTGTTAGAAATATGCACTCGAAAACTAGCAGTAGAAAAGGTTGAAGGAGACATATAAGGGATTAATAGACAAGATGTTTAACACCATTGCCTATAAATGGCATGACTGCAAAACACAAGGATATCAGTGACAAAAAGTAATAAGTCAACCAGGACAGCAAAGTCTGGAGACTTAGATAACACCCACAAAAACTAAATGCAGAGGAAAAAAAAAAAAAAACGAAAAAAGAAACTCCATGTACACTATCGACAAATAATATTAAATATTTAGGAATTAACATGGTGTGAGCCACATACAACGTAGCTGGAGAAAATTCTAGAGTGCCCCTACGGAAGACGGGAACAAGTGGAAGGCAGCATCCGTCCCTGCCTCAACAGACAAGCCATAAAGACAGGAAGCTCTTTGGGCTGACGTCTACATTTACTATCACCGAGAATTCAGCAATAAAATACGGAACACTCTAAACAAATCCAGTCGTTTTTAACTGTGGGGGTGGGATTGGCAGTAAAAGATAAAAGGCATCTTATGCTTCGACACACCTGCCATGCCAGCAGCACCCCGACCTTACGGCACCCACGGAGGCTGAGAGCGTGCAGGTAGGCGACCTGAATCTGCTGCGAGGGATCTGGATCGAGAGGCTCCTGTTCCCCCCAGGGGGAACCACAGGCACCTGAGCCTGCACCTGCTGTGGGGCAGTGCCAGCCGGCGGGGGGGCTGCCTCGCCGCTGCCCCCCATAAGTGCCCTCGGTGGCTTCAATCAGGGCAGAGGAAGGAGGACTCCTCCAGGGCCATGCAGGGCTGACCCCTCCCTGGAACTTTTGGCCAAAGACAGTCCTGGTGGCTTGAGCCTTCCAGGTCCTGCCACGTGGACCGTGGCCTCTTTCTTCCTCACCTGGGCAGAGAGTGCTGGGTGACGGGGAAAAGTTCAGCAGCTACAGGCACACCCCGATCCCGGCACCTCTGCCTGTTTTCCTCGGTGCTGCAAGACGGCACCGTCTCGTTCTGCCAGGACCTCCTCTCTAGAGATTCTCTCTGGCTTCCTGCCTTCCAGTTCCCCAGCTGCCCTGGCGCCCCTGCACTCGACCACAGCCCCATCACTCTCGGGGCTGCCAGGGACCTGGGCACCGAGCCTTGGCCCCGTCAGCTGTGGAGCCCCTGCCTCCCTCTCAGCCGCCTGGGTCCCTGTCTCGCCCCACCCTGCTGCCCTGGCAGCCTCTGCCTGAGCCGGTGCCCGTGAAGACGTGAGGCGAGAGCTGCGGCGAGATGATTTTTGATCAGAGCAATCCTGAAATATAATTCACACACCATACAATTCACTCTTGTTTTCAAGTGGACGATTCAGTGGTTTTTAGCATATTCAGAATTGTGCAACCATCACCACTATCTAATTCCAACACATTTCCATCACTCCAAAAGAAACCCATACCCAGTAAGCAGTCACTGTCTGTTCCACATTCCTCCCAGCCCTTGGCAAAACCACTAATCTAACTTCCATCTCTACTTGCCTATTCGGGACATTGCACATAGACAAAATCATACAACAGGTGGCCCTTTGTGCCTGGTTATTTTCACTTAGCACAATGTTTTCAAAAGTTCATCCACATCGTAGCATGAATCAGTCCTTCGTTTCTTTATATTGCCAAATAATTTTCCACTGGATGGATACACCACACTTTGTTTACACTTTTATCAGCTGATGGACACTGGGTTGTTCCCTGGGTTTTGTGGCTATTGTAAACAACGATGCCGTGAGCATTCCTGCACAGGCTTTTGTGTGGACGTGTGGTTTTGTTTCTCTTGGGCATGGCAAGGGGGTCTGTGAAGGCGACAGTGCTGTCAGTCTGAGATCAGAACCTCTCTCCTGCGGCAGCTCGTCTGGGGCAGGTCACGTGGCCTCCTTGTGCCCTCGCCTTCTCAACTGGCATGTCTGGGCAAGGACACCTACTCGGGACACCTCAGAGGATCCTTGTGGGACGGAGTAACAGATGTGAAAGTATTTTTGAAATTTTAAATGCACCTTGTAAAGAGAAGGTAGTATTTTATCCATGTGGCCACCTATCATTGTTTAAAAGTAGATGCCTGTGTTCAGGCCCGAGCGTATGACCTAGAACTGTTACAGATTTGGAAGTCAGGAGCACTGTGGGTGGAGATGACTGAATATGAAAGCTGAAAAAGACCAGATTGTTATTTCTACAGCTTGGCAGCTTTCCTATAACTGGGGGGTGGGGTGGGAGAGAAAAACTTGACTATTTAGATATACTACGTACTTCCCTAGGAAATCTAAATATTGCAAAATGGGAATTCTCTCCCAGTTATTCACACACAATAAAACCTTCCAATTCTTCCAATATTATCTAGTTATGATACTTTTCTCTGAACAATCCCTCTGCCTTCTTGCTTTAAGGAAGGCCTGGCCCTGCCCTAAGCCCTTTTGGTGGAGGCTCTGTTCCCCCAGAGCCTTTCTGCCCCCCGGCTGTGGGGCCAGGTCAGGGGGCATCCTTGTCTTCATTGCACCTCCATACCGCGGTCCCGCCCTCCCCCAAAACTCCCCAGCTCTGAATCCTGTTTTGTCTGGATGCTGTCAGCACAGCCCCTCAACCGCCACCTTCTTCCATCTACCGTCATCTGCCCAGGCCCCCACCTGGCACCGTCCCACCTGTTCCTGCCGCTGCATGCCGGGCCTCTGTATCTAAAGCCATCACCGAGGACGCCACCTTCTTCTCCCTCCTCCTCCTCTTATGTTGTCGTCCAGGTTTCATTGCCACTGGGCCAGCCCTTTGGCATACAAACCTGCTATTGTTATTGTGTCCCTATTGTAAAAGTGAATCTGTCTCCGGACCCACTTCCCCTGCCACTAGCTACCAACCTATTTCCTTTCCTTTGCAGCAAGCTCCTTTAGAAAGTTCGCTGCGCTCACCGTCTACGATTTCTCTCCTCCTGTGCTCACCCGAACCAATCTTCCTGTCCCATCACCTCACTGCATCAGTTCCTGTCCAGGTCACTGCTGACTCCACGGTGCCCAACAGGTGCTTCAAACTCAACAGGTCCCAAACCCACATCCTGATCTCCCTTCCCTCCCCAAATGTGGCAAGCTCCTAAGCTCCCCGCTCCCGCTTCCTGGCCTAGAAAATAGGGTTAGGAACAGTGCGAGTGCAGGCCTGGCACCACGCGCCTGCTGTCTGAGCGACTTCACCTCCTCGTACCGGTGTCCTCCTCACCTGTGGGACGGAAACGACAACAGTACCAGCCCCCAGGTTACAGCGCTGCTGTGGGGATGAACACAGCTGCTGGGACGGCGCCCACGCGGAGCCAGCACCGGGACGCCAGTCTGACACTGCCACCGGGAAGGCCGGACGCGCTGTCCGTGTGTCCGTGCGCCGGCCGGCGGTGCGCACAGGCCCGGGCTAGGGCCACACCCTCTTCAGCACCGCCACACCTGGCTGCCCGCGCCACGGGGATGCTCCCTCGAGATCTCTCCAGACTGAGGTGTGGGGAGCTGGCACGAACGAGCAACGCGAAAGCGGACACACGGACCCCTGGGCGCGCTGGGCCGGCGGGGGCGCACGCCCAGGGCGCGGTGCGCGGGGCAGGGCAGCCCTGAGGGCGCTCTGCTCCTGACCGCCGCCGACCTGAGTTTGCGAAAGGGGAAGAGGGAGGAGTGGAGGGGAAGGCAGCAGAAAGGGGGAGGAGGGGCCGGTGAAAACGGGAAGGCCAGAAGCAAGGTGAGCCGCCTTCCGGCTCTGCTGAGGGGCCCGGCCCAGGGCTGCGGCTGGGGCCCCACTTACGCGTTCGACATGGCTGGCTACTTTCCCTCTTTCCCTCGCCCGCTGGGAAACTCTTCCGCTGCCCTCCGAAGGGCCGCTGGCTGCAGGGGTGCGGGCTCCGCCAGGGGCGCCCGGGGGCCGAGGGGCACTCCTCTGGGGGCGGGCGGGGGCCGGGGCACCCCCTCGGGGAGAGGCGGCAGTCGCAGGCGCTTCGCCGGCCCGGAGCGCGCAGGCCCTGAGAGGAGGGTTCGAGTCCGCGTCGCTCCCGGGCTCCGCACCGCGCTCCGGCCTCTCGGGGGCGCGAGGCGTCCCTAGCAACCGAGACGCCGCGCCTGCGCAGTGCCGTTCCGCTCCGGGGCCGCGCGCTCCCCGCCGACCCCCCACGCACGCTACGCGCCTGCGCCGCCGGCGCCCGTTTCCATGGCAACCGCGCGCGGCGCCCGGGCCGCGCCTCCCGGCTGAGGGAGGAGGCTGAGGAGGGAGGCCCGGGGCCGGCGCGCCGGGCGGGCTGTGTCCCCGCTGCCCCGTCGGGCCCAGAGCCTGAGTGCCTGGGTCGCCGGACGGGCGTGGGGCCCATCCCCGGGCCTGTGGCCTCCCGCCGCGGCGCTTCCGGGCGCGCCGGGCCCAGCGCCGTCGGGGCGCGGGGAGGACGCCCGCACGCAGGTGGCGGCTCCGGGCCACACGCCCCCCGGCGTCGCTAGCGACGCGAGCCGAGGACAGCTGCAGGCGGGCCGCCCGCCGGGTCGTGGGCAGTCGGGTCAGACACCCCGGCGGCTCGTCTGCGTAGACGCGGGCCAGGGCGGCGCGGCCCCGGTGAGGCCCGTCCCCACCAGCAGGAGGCGCGCGAGCCCCTGCCCGTCCGATGGCTCAGGTGGCAGGGACCCAGGTGACGGGGCCCAGGTGACAAGGGTCCAGGAGGCAGGGGTCCAGGTGACGGGGCCCAGGTGACGGGAGCACCGGTGGCAGGGGCCCAGATGACAGGGGTCCAGGTGACAGGGACCCAGGTGACGGGGGTCCAGGTAACGGGGGTCCAGGTGACAGGGACCCAGGTGACAGGGGCCCGGGTGACGGGAGCACCGGTGGCAGGGGCCCAGATGGCAGGGGTCCAGGTGACAGGGACCCAGGTGACGGGGGTCCAGGTAACGGGGGTCCAGGTGGCAGGGACCCAGGTGACAGGGGTCCAGGTAACGGGGGTCCAGGTGGCAGGGACCCAGGTGGCGGGGGTCCGGGTGACGGGGGTCCAGGTGGCAGGGACCCAGGTGACAGGGACCCAGGTGGCGGGGGTCCGGGTGACGGGGGTCCAGGTGGCAGGGACCCAGGTGACGGGGACCCAGGTGGCGGGGGTCCAGGTGGCGGGGGTCCGGGTGATGGGGTTCCAGGTGGCAGAGACCCAGGTGATGGGGGCCCAGGTGACGGGGGTCCAGGTGACAGGGGCCAGACTGGCAGCGCAGGGCCCCTCCACAGCAGGAGACGGAGCTGCAGACGCTAGCACAGCTTTGCAGGACACGTCCAGGGAAGGTTCCCGCCGCTGACAGTGCAACCGCCCTGGCAGGGACCGGGAAGACGCTGCTGATGCCCCCCCCTCCCCCGGGGCCTAGGGCAGTCCCTGCGCCTCCTGTGTTCTGCTCTGTCCTCCCTGATCCCACTGAATCCCATCCCGGAGTCCCATCCTGCCCTGCCTTGGTTGTTTCTCTTCTTACATGAAAACACCGAGTCTATTTCGTTTAGTAACAATTCTTTGTGCTCTGCCAGACATCTGAGGTCCAAATCATTCCTCTGGCTCACCTTTCTAGTCATTTCCTCTAAATTGTTCTGGATCTCTTCCGCAGTGACTATGTTTTGTCCTACATACTTGTTTTATTTCATTTAAAATGTAAATGTCTTTGCACCGACTGCCAGGTGTCTGGGAGAATTCATCTCTCAGCCTTTTTGATACGCATGGAGTCAGTAGGGCAAGTGTCATCTGTTGGTGCCCGTTCTGTGCAAACGCCCAGTGCTCAACACGGTGCACTAGAAAAAGGTAACTCTGATATGCATTCAGGAATTCACATCTTGGAATAGAGTAGAAGACACAAAGGTAGGTGATTAAATGCCACAGCACACAAAGTCCTCTGGAAGTTTAGAAAAGAGAAGAGTCACTTTGCCTTGCGAAAGTAGAAGGTGGTATGAAGCAGGTAGGATTAGAGCTGACTACGTAAAGGATGAGTGGGGCTTTGGACAGAGGAAGTAGGAGGAGAGCATTCTGGGCAAAAGAAACAACACGGACAAAGGTATAGAAGCAGTATATGTACAGGGATCTGTTCATTTGATAGCTGATATTTCCATTTTCCCCCGGATTAGGTCTGTCTCTATAGACCCAGGCCAGACAGTATATGTTCTCAGTAGCAGGCAGAGAAATTTGGACTGAATTTTATGGCTACTCCAGTACTACTGAGGTTTATTGGAGCAGGAGAATTGCCATGACCATGAGTCAGGGGACCAATTAAAAGACAGGAAGTACAAATCAGTGGATAAACAAAATGTAGTACATGCATAAATGTGACAACATTCAGCCGTAGAAAGAATGAAGTTTTGACACAGGCTACAACCTTGAAAACATTATTCTGAGTAAAGTAAGTCAGACACACAAAATAACAAATTTTGTATGATTACACTTAACACGAAATGTCTAGACAAATTCATAGAGACAGAAAGTCAATTAGAGGTTACCAGGGGGTGGGGGAAGGAGAGAATGGGGAGTTAATGGTTTAAGGAGTACAGAATTTCTGTTTGGGGTGATGAAAAATTTTGGAAATACAGTGGTGATGGTTGCACATCGTGGATATAGTTAATACCGCTGCATTGTACACTTGCAATGGTTAAAATGGCAATTTCTATATCTCACAAAGGCCCTGACAGTGGTTGAATTCTTTGATTAAGGAAACTAAAATGACTTTTCTGAATAGAGACTTAGAATGGGGGAGAGAGTATAAAATCTTGAGAAAGTATAATTCCCAGGATATGCAGTGTGACTCGGAGAGGGAAAGTCCGCAGTGCTGGTGAGGTTGCAGTGGGCCGCTGGGAGGTGGTGTTGGGGAAGGAGGGTGCTGAAGAACCGAGGGGCTGGAGTGGCTGGGTATAGACACTTGGTGAAGGTTGGGGAAGGAGAGAAGACAAGAAAACGTGTTGTCAGGGATATGGGAAGGTGCTGTAAGTTAGAGAGATGTGAACTTATATTTAGGACAAATGGAAAGAAAGAATGTGAAGTGGTAGTCTTTCGACAAATGCATTTCGTTTTTAAACCGTGGTCTAGAAGCACTCCTCTTCTGCAATATAATTCGCATTGACGTCTCTTTGTACTCACCATCCTTCTTTCTTTTCCAGAACCCCCAGTACTCCACCTGTGTTCTCACACCGTACAGAGGCCCTTCCTGAGGATTTTGGTGATGTGATCTAGCCCTTAATGAACCAGTTGGAGTAAAGTGGCACAGTGCAGTTTTGGTAAATCTTGGCAAGTTTCCCACAACACCCAAGATACACGCCAGGACGGCGGCACATCTCTGCTTATAGCCCAGGCTCAGCAGGGAGTTACCAGTACCATGTTGTGCCCTTTTCTTCCTGTGCCCAGTTGTAGATTTCCCAAAGCTCCCCCAAGTCAGTGGATCATGCTTATCAGTCTGTAGAGCACAGGATGTTGCTTATTCTCCTTTAATGCTTTAATTACTCCATTGACACTCTGAAATAGGTTACAGTGTAATCAGGCAAATTATAAGCCAGTGGTTGACTTGGAAATAAAAACTGTGCCTTTAATTACTATGAGAAAAATTGTGGTCAGTTGGAACAACCAGTCTGGAGTCTTCCATTTTCTAACAGTGCAATTTGAATCAACCCTAGTAACATTCCCGAACCTCAGTCTATCTCCTTACAATGGGAAAAAGACCCCCTGTGTCACTCAAAGCGTGTTGTGTCTGTCACCTGGAATGGTCCTAAATTGCCACGTGCTAGGAAACAGGGTGTGTGACCTCGTGCGCTTGGTATCTGGAGGATCATCTGACTCACATGGTTTAGATTCGGGAGATTCCGTTCATAAAGTATGCTCTGAACGCTCAGTGCCGGTAGCATTGTAGGCAACCCTCCTCATATTCCTTGCTGAGTCCATGGTGAAGGAACTGAGTCCTCCAAAGATGGTTCTACCTCTTCGTGTAATGAGTCTGCCACGGGAGCTGTCCCTGAGTGTGAGTGCCGGAGTTGGAGAGCAGTGACTACTGTGCTCCCACCGCGAGGTGGTGGGCACTTCTAGGCGCAGTGAAAAGGAAGTGGAAGTTTCCGGTTGACTTTGATTCAGCTCCAACACGTTCTTCAGGTAGGCCTACAGAGCTGCGGAGACTGAAGTCAGGAGAGATGAAAGTGAAGAGGTGGAAAGTTCACATTGAGTTTGAAGGCCTTCTTCTCTAAACTTAGATGTAAGGAACATTTTCTGTGCTTCCAAGTATAAAGTGTCATTCTACATAAGAGGTGGATTTTAAAATGTCAGATATTAAGCCGTCTGCTGTAGCATGTCACTTTTTATGTCTGATGTTATGACTGTACAAAAAGACACTGATGAAATGCTGAGCTTGTTACATTTGCATATAGGACTGGGACTGAATGGAGTATATGGGTTTCACTAGTTCATAATCATTAAAAGTAAACATTGGTAGAACCCTCGACTTAACATTTCAAGATCTGATATCCACAGTTTTGGCTTTTTCTGAGCAGGCCCCAAGGTCCATGGCGTGTTATAATTTGTAACAGGGGCAGCTCTACTTCTCTCAGAGGATTGTTACGAGGATTAAATGAAGCACGTATGCAAAGTGCTCAGCATGAATTTGAACCAACACGCTGCTGTGTGGCAGGTAGTCCCTTAACCTACCGGGGGGGGGGGGGGGGGAGGGTCGTGTCTAGGTGTCTGCTCCAAATCCACACCTTAATCAGCAGTATTCCTAATTTTGGGGTTCACAGAAATCCCAAGTGTCAAAGACCTGTTTCATACAGGTTATTCAGTTGAGAGCTCATAACATAGATGTTGCTTTCAGAATAATGATAATTACAAACTCCTACAACAGCTGGTATCACCATTCCCAAACAGCAAAAAGTTTCAGCTGTGAATCTTGGCTTCTCTCCAGTCTGTTACAGTAATGTATCTTAGTGTATTTTGGACTGGAAATGGGTCTGATTTGATAGATTTTGTTGAGAATATGCTAGTAAACTAATTTAAAGGGGATATGAGCAATCTGAGCATTGCATTCTGGATGGAGTTCCAAAGAAAATCATCTTACAAACACCAAGGCCATTTTACGTCAAGTAAACATCACTTCCACTGGGAAATGAGTGTGAATGTGTGTGTGTTTTTCTTATGAGCTTCCTCTATTATCTATTAATAAAACTGCCCAGTACGAGAAAAATAGAAAAAGGAACTAGCCACAGGCAGGATATTTTTTTTTTTTAATTATTGTCCTGTTTTTTTCACAAACATCGAGGCAGCTTTTGTAACCCAGATGTAGGGAGGCCCCTTTCTCAATTGTTTTAACACCTGCTGTCTACTAAAATGAACACGATTTCCACCAACCATTGATAAATTCAGCCTTAAGCCTGCCTCAAAAAGGACAGTTTCCTATATTTTGATAATACTTCTGAATAAGTAACATGTGTTAGTCCAATTTCGGTTTTATTTTATTTTTTCTATTATTTGGCTCTCTTATCCCCTCTCTTCTTATTTGTTTTCACAAGCTTATAATAAAACAATAGTTTTTGGCACCAAGGGTAGAGGGCTCATTACAAATAACAGTTGCATTGTGCATAAAACAAAAGTGATACATTTGGTCATTAAATGAGACATATTTAAAGACTTGACTTGCCAATGGCTCTGACCACATCAGCAAGATGTAGTTTAAGAGCAAAGAAGTAATTTACTTAATCTATTAATTCGTCATAGAGCACCACCAGACTTAATAGAAATATAATCTGGGTTTAAAAAAGAACCTGGCAGGAGGCTGGTAAGGATTTTCACATGTTCATTTCTCCCTCCATCTGTCTGCCGGGGGTCGGTCCGCTTGTCCTTGTCTGCTTACTCTTTCCCCTGAGGGCAGCACTTCTCAGACACGGCACGGCCTGTACCAGGGCTGGGAGAGCAGCCGGGCTCATGGCAGGCACAGCGGAGCCAGGCCTTGTCTGCAGGATGTCACAACGGAGCCAGGCCCCCTCTGCAGGACGTCCCGAAGGTGTCTGGCCTGTTCAGGTAACCAGTGCAGTGTGTCGTCATGAGGGGGGTTTAACTATTAAAGCCATTTTGGGCGTTTGCCTGCCTAACGTACTATCAGGGAGTTGTTTACTTAGGATTTTCATGCTAGGAAAATTGTTCCACACTTTTTGGTTGTCCTAATGTATGAAATGCAGATAAAAATGATAATAGCTACAACTTTCAAACTACTTTTTATTAAAGAATAATATGTGCAGAAAAAGTGGGCAGCTCTTTAGCATACATCTCAATGAATTGTGACAGTTTGAAAGCACCCACGTAGCAAGTACACAGGTCACGGCCCAGAAGAAAGGCAGAGTCCCGGAAGCCCTCCTTGTGTCTCCTCCTAAACACACCTGTCTCTCCTTCCCAAAGGAGACACTAACACCAAAGATTACTGTTTTTTGTTTTTTTTTTTTAATAAAGGAAGACTTTACATATTAACTGTATATAGATGGAACTACACAGTGTGTACAGCTGACCTTTGGACAATGTGGGGTTAGGGGCACCGACCCTCACACAGCCGAGAATCCGAGAGTAACTTTTGACTCCCCCTAAACTTCACTGCTAATAGCTTACTGTTGACTAGTAGCCTTACTGATAGCATAAACAGTTAACACATATTTTGTATATGTGTTACTATATATACTGTATTCTCATAATAAAACTAGAAAAAAGAAAATTAGTAAGAAAACCATGAAGAAGAGAAAATATATTTACTCTTCATTAAATGGAACTGGATCATCACAAACCATGTCATTCTCGTCTTCCTGTTGAGTAGGCTGAGGAAGAAGAGGAAGGGTAGGTCTTGTTGTCTCAAGGGTGGCAGAAGTGGAAGAAAACCCATGTGTGAGTGGACCCGCAAAGTCCAAACCTGTGCTGCTCAAGGGTCAGTGGTGTTCTTTTGTATTGAGCATCTTCTGACCTACCTGTGATTGTGAGAATCACTCACGTTGGTGCATGTAAATGTAGGTGGTTTTCGTTGCTGTGTCGATCCACATATGAACAGATCGCGGCTTTTCCATTCCACAGTTGATGGACAGGTGGGTTGCTTGCAGGCCTGGGTTACTATGAATAATGCTCTTGGGATCATTCGCATACGTATCTTTTAGTACACATGCGTGCTCCTTGCTGGACCATAGGGTGCGTGTATGTTCAACTTCAGTAGACACAAAAAAGTTTTCCAAAGTGGCTGTACCAATATTTTCTTCGATTTTACCAATAAGAGTTCTGGTTGTTCCACACATTTACCAACACCTGGTATTTTCTTTTTCTTTCTTCTTCTTCTTTTTTTTTTTTTAAGAATTGTAGTATTATGATCTCATTGTGGCTTTAATCTTCATTTCTCTGATGAGTAATGGCACTGAGATCCTTTTCATATATGGCTCTGGCCATTTGGATATCCTTGTTTTGTGAAGTGCTTATGGAAATCTTTTGGCCAAATTTTATTGAATTGTCTTTTTATTACTATTTTGTAGAAGGTTATTTATGTACTATGACACAAGTCTACGCTGAATAAATTTATTGAAAATATTTCCTCCCATCCTATGGTTTGCCTTTTCTCTTTTTAAATGACGTCTTCTAATGAACAGTTTCCTAATTTTAATGAAATCTATACTTTTTTTAACCACTTCGGTACGAGCGTCGACAATAGTCAATAGCCACAGACGAACGTGCACAGCCGAGCGTCAACTATAGTCGACAGCCACAGATGAACGCGCACAGCGACTTTAGCCGACAGCCGTGATATGACTTTTCTAATTTTTCATTTATCAAAATAAAATTGTGAACATTAAAAAATAACATAATAAAAACATATATGTAAATGTTACCTATTCTGATTTACATAACAAGTAAAGCTACCTGTAAAGTAAAACAAGCTTTCAGTGCTTTAAAGCTTTCCTCATCGCACAAGAGCAAAACGGATTCGTCGCCAATGCACAGCACAGACTATTGTGCAAACTATGAGTGCTGGTTGTGGGTGAGGTTTAACTGTTGGACAGCGCCGTGCCTAAGTGGTTGAGATTAGTGCATTTTTGTTATCCTGTTTAAGAATTTTTTTTTGCATATGTAAAGGTAATGAAAATATTCTTCTATGTTATGTTCAAGAAGCTTCATCATTTTACCTTTCACATTTAGATCTATACTCTAACTAGAATTAAGTTTTCTATAAGGGTAAAGTAGGGATTGGATTTTTTTCTTTTTTTCCTATATGAACATTCACATCAGCCAGCACTATTTATAAAAAGGACCCTGTGGTACTTTTGTCATAAGTGAAGTGTCCATTGTGTGTAGGACATTATCTCTGAAGTGCTCTTCTGCACTTTTGGATAATCATATGATTTTCTTCTTTATTCTGTTAATTTGGTGAGGTCCATGGATTGATTTTTGTATGCATATCTGGGATAAACTGAATGTGATGGGTTATCCTCATTCTACACTATGCAATGTCATATGCTAAGATAGGGTTGGAGATTTCTGCACCTATATTCATGAAGAATATTATCCCGTAATTTTCTTTCTTTTGATATCTGTGTCAGATTTTGTCATCAAGGTTATGTTGACCTCACAAAGTAAATTAGGAAGTGTTCCTTTCTCCTGTATTTTCTAAGATTTTCTGTAAGACTGGGATTTTCTTCCTTAAATGTGTGATAGAAGGCCTCTGGGCTTGAAATTTTCTTTGTGTACGGTTTTTATAAAGAAGTCGATGTCTGTAATAGCTACAGCACTGTTCAGATTTTCCAATTCTTAGTTTTGGTAAGTTGTGTATTTCAGGTAATTTGGTTATTTTGTATAAGCTGTAGAATTTACTATTTTAAACTGTTCATAATATTCCACATTATTCTTTTAATATCTGTAGGATCTGTGGTGATAGCTCCTTTGTCACTCCTGATATTTGTAATTTATGTTCTCTCACTTTTCTCCCTTGACTGATCTTGCCAGGGGTTTATCATTTTTTATTAATATTTTCAGAGAGGCAACCTTTGTTTTGATTAATATTATCGTCTGTCTCCTGTATCTACTGGTGCATAACATTATCCCAGAACTCAGGGACTCTAAGCAGTACCCATTTATTAGCTTGCCGTGTCTGTCGGGCGGAACCTGGCGCAGCTCAGTGGCGCCCGGCCCTGAGGGCTCTCTCCAGGCTTCCACCAAGGCGAGGGCTGCTGCTGTGTTACACCGGAAGGCTCGGTGGAGGGAGGGCCTCCCTCCAACCTCACTCGTGTGGCCGTCGCCAGGATTCAGTTCCTCCTGAGCTTGTGGACCGAGGAATCCGGTTCTTTGTTGGCAGTTGGCTGGAGGGTCTCCTCGCTTTTCCACACTGGCGTCTCCGTGTGGCAGCTCGCACCGTGGTGGCGGACTCCCCCACAGTGAGTAAGCCGGGGATCCCGAGGGGGCGAGGCGAAACCAGGGTCTGTCTTTAGCCTGATCTCGGGAGCGCTAGCACGGCACTGCTGCGTTTTCCTTCTCCCAGGCTCTGCACCACCTAATGTCTGAAAGTGCCTGAACGACAGGTCATCCACAAATCTGATCCAGTTATGCGATTGTTCACGACAGGAGGGCAGAGCCAATACCGGTTCATTCATCCAGGCTGGATGGAACCTCTGAACAGGTTCAGGTGTCCTGGCAGTCTAAACCCAGCACAGAGGCCTTGACCCTGTCCTCACGCACCGGCCAGTGTGCCAGTCTGTGATGATCATTTACCAAATCAAACCTTTAAGTCAATTTGTTGTAAAATGCAAGGGTTTGTGGAAAGAATAAGATACTGTTTTCCACAGAACCAGAAGTCAGGGTGAGATTACCTTTATTCCTGCTTTTCCAAGGTGTTGGATGAATTATAAAAGGGCTGCACTAGGATCACCTAGGGTCAATTTTCCTTTTTCTGTGATTTGGAGGTTCTAATACAATTAAACGATGGCAATGGATATAGAATTCAGGCAGAGAAAAACAGAGAAAATAAATGGTCAGATGTGTGGGGGGGAAGCCAAAAGAAGGAGAAATGGATAAAAATCATAGAAGATGCGCTCTGTATTGATCTTCCATTGCCATGTAACTGATGACCACACACTCAGTGACCTAAACAGTACCCGTTGAGTATCTCACACTTTATGTGGGTCAGAAGCCCAAGCACGGCTTAGGCGGTTCCCTGCTCAAGGTCTTGCAAGGCTGAATTAGAGGGTAGGCCAGGCTGTGTCCCTTTCCAGAGCCCTGGGTCCTTCCGTAGGCTCATCCCGGCTATTGACAGGACTCAGTTCCCTGCAGCTGTGGGACTCCTGGTTGCCCCTGCAGGTCCCAGGCCCATAGCCCTCTCCCAGCATGGCAGCTCTCTCCTCCAAAGCCAGCTGGGGAACCTATCTCTAGTCAACCTGCTAAGACAGCTGAGTCTTATCAAGGAGGTGACCATCCGTGCCCGTCCCAGTCCGCCTACACTCCAGGGGAGGATTTTACAGGCATATCCACCACGGGTGGGAATCTTGATGGCCTCCTTAGAATTCTGCCTGATCTATAAAATCAGGTGGCTTAAAATAAACTCCTTTGGCTAATAAAGAAAATAATTAATAGGCATTATTTGGGAGCTAGGTCTCCTAATGGCCATTGTCTGTCAAGTGGAGACGTTATACAAAACCTGTCTGCTCCGTGGGTTGTTGCAGGCTGGCTTGGTCATGCCTGTGAAAAGCCTGTGCACAGTGGACACTGCTCTGCAAGGGGGAGGGGATGAGAGAACTCTGTGTGTGCGTGCATATGTGCATATGCAGTGTGAATATGTGTGCACGGAGGTGTGCGTGCGTGTGCATGTGCATGTGTGCACACCCATGAAGTGAAATATTCCACATCAGTTGCCTCACTCTTTATGACTCTCCCCCCTCCTGCCCCGCCCAGAGTGAGCCCATCCCCTGCCCAACTCCCATTGAACCCTTGCTATTCGTCAGTTCTTAACACATCCCACCTAGTCCCGTACATTGGTCTCCCTTATCCGAGGTTCTGCTTTCTGTGGCTTCAGTTACCCATGGTCAACCACAGTCAGAAAATATTAAATGGGAAATTCCAGAAATAAATAATCCATAAGTCTCAAATTGCATACCGTTCTGAGTAGCGTGATGGGATCTCAAGCTGTCCCCTGCCGTCCCACCTGGGACGTGAGTCACCCAGCGTATCCACGCTGTGGATACTACCTGCCTCTTAGTCATCCCCCTTGTCTGCTCCTGACATCCGTCCACATTGTCTCGGCTTGTGGTCCAGATTACCCCAAACAGATGATCCTTCTGATGCATCATCGGTCAGTAGTACCCTAACGCTGCGTCGCGATGCCTTTGTCGTTCTCCTACATCACGGAGGTGCTTTATCAAGTCTATGCATCACAAGAAGAAAGGTGAGTCCAGTACAATAAGATATTTTAAGAGAGAGAGAGAGACCACATTCATACAACTTTTATTACAATATATTGTTATAATTATTCCATTAGTAGTTATTGTTGTTATTCTCTTGCTGTGTCTAATTGATATTCAACTGTGTCGTAGGCACATGCAAAGGAGAAAGCATTGTATATACGGGGTTCAGTGCTATTTGAGGTTTCAGGCTTCCATGGGGTGGCTTGGAACGTATCCCCTGTGCATAAAAAGGGACTATTGTAATTTCTTTTGTACTTTATTTCTATTCCTCACCCATTCATAACCTTTCCAGTTGCAGAGTTTGCACCTTAATCATTTTTGCATTCCCTTTAATTTCATGAATAAATGGAGGGAAATGAATCCACCATAAATATGACCTATCATACGGCTGGGTCCGGTCACCACGTAGCAGGAGGGGCCTGGTAAGCAGATCTTGCCTGGTTCCTTCGCCAGGCAGTTACGGAGCACCTGCATTTAATCCAGAAAAATGTCACCTAAGTGGAGCTCCCCTGCGGCCTCTACCTTTTAGAGACGCTTCTCTGTTAAAATACTCCAAATGGCAGTACGTGAGGCTTTCATAATGGCACAAAATACTGTTTTGAATGACTTTTTTCCCTTATTGTAAAAAAAACAAAAATAAAAAGGCACTAACCACACCGAACATACCAATACTTTAAAAGCTGACAGTAATGACTGGTGGCCTGCAGGGTGGCCTGCACGGTGACCTGCACTGGCTCCTTGCGGCTGACTGCATAGGTGGAGGCAAACCCGGCCTGGGACGTTTTCTGGCAAAACCGAGGCGTGCGGGGGTGGGGGTGGGGGGGAAGGCAGCAAAGCCCTGGCTGCCTTCTCGGGCTCCTGAGAGCCGGCAGGAAGGCTCGCTGCTCATGGCATAAAGTAAACACCAGCGGTGGGCAGCATAAATCTTCTGGGTGAAGGAATTATTAGTGGCACGTTGACCTGGTATGGACTGTGGCCAGTTGAGAGGCGTTATTGATGGCGTTGCTCATTCTCCAGGCGCAGAAGAGGGCCGCCTTTGACGTAAATATAAACACACCAGGCACGCTCTCAATAACAATTGTCAGCCACGGCCCAGCTTCCACTAGCATTCCCCCTTGGTCCGGCTCTTTGACACCGTACTTAAGACTAAACACGCACGGTGAATTCTAACAACGTCGAGGGCTTGGAATCTCAGGCCATCTGTCAGACGAAGGCCGCTTCTCATCCGCTCGGTGAGAGACCAACCAAAACTCGCGCCAGGACCGCCGCATGTTTCCTTTCCCCAGATCGAAGGCCTCTTCCTAGCGAAGGACATTTCAGTTCCCTTTCTTCTCCCCACCCCGAGGCCTTTCACTGACCCACGCGTCCCCGGCCGGGGCCTGCGCGCGAGCTCTTTCGGTTCTGCGGCCGACACGGAGCCCGTTCTCCCGCGCGGCTCTTCCTTCCTTCCCTCGCCTGTGTCCCAGACGGTCTTCAAAGGCCAGAGTCCCACTGTTTGCCCCGACCTCTCCCACCAGCCCTGACCCCGGCCACCTCTCCCTCATCTCAACTCCTGCAGGCTTGTTTATTTCTTTTAGGCCGTGAATAGCAGACAGACCCAGCTCAAATTGGCTGGGGGAAAAGAGATGCTCGTTGGCCTGCAAACACGACACAGCTCATTCTGCCTCCCTGCTAAGCCGCGCCGGGGCTCTGTTCTTTTTCTCGCAGACGCTAGAACCTCATTCTCTGTGACCAGATCTGCGGTCCCTGTGTGGTGGCAAAGCCAGGACATTTCTCCAGCTTACCTCAGGTCAGCCATGTTTCGGCTAAAATCAGATAATTTAAAGCGTTATGGGACCTGCAATATTTCCATTTGGATTCCCTCCTTCCCTCCTTCCCTCTCTCCCTCCCTCCCTCACTTTCTTCCTTCCTTCCTTCCTTCCTTCCCTTCCTCTTTCCTTCCCTTCCTCTTTCCTTCCCTCCCTTCTTCTCTCTCTTTCTCTCTCTCTCTCTCTCCCCTGTGTCTGAATAAACAGATCTTGTCCCATGTGTGAGTGGAAGGTCTGAGTATTAGAGCACCTTTTCTGTTTTCCTGGGCCTTCAGAAGTGCGCTAGTGATTTATTATATGTTATCAACAACTGAAAATAATAATAATTGATGGGCAATAAGTACTTTTACTGCTTATGGCAAATGAAAATGTTTGACTTTGAAGTGTAATAAATACTGCATTTCTTTAAGGAGGCTCTAATCTCATGTTGAATTGACTTACTAGAGTGTGCTTTGAGCTTCTCATCTCCGAATTGTCCTGGAACTGTATCGTCTACTCACGTGGGCACAGGGCTCTTAACAGGCATGAGTGTGACGACTGCACAGCAACAACTGGGGAAGAGCACTTGCAATCTAGAACACACAAACACACCTGCGCTTGACTTGTAAAATCCTTGTCACTGGGTTCATTCAAAACCTGAGATATGTGATCTTTTCATGTATTTGCAGTATAGCCTCTGATGCGTGGTCATGATTGCAGGAGACGAGAATTCCGCTTGCTGAAATTTTTAGAAATATTCACTTTGATGAAGTGAGATCGAGATTCAAAGCATTTGTCAAAATATTAATACTATTTCCCCATGCAACCAGAAAACTAGAACTGAGAGCCACAGTGCAGGTAAACAAAACCATTCTTTTTCTAAAATGAAAAAAAACACATCTTTATCAAATAAACTTAGTTTGAATGGCAAGGGCAGAATGGTTGGTGTTTTGTGCTTTCTTTGAGTTCTAGAAATCTGAGGGAGCACCTGTCCTTCACTGTCCCTCTGTTCTGATGAGATGGGCCTTCCTCGTGCTGGAGCCTGTTCTGCGCTTGGCCTGTGGCCCTCTCCAAGAAGAGAGGGAAGGGAACAAAGGTAAGGTAGAGAAAATAAGGGAAAAAAAAGAGAGCAAGATGGCAGACTCACATCCCACCACGTCAATCGCTGCTCTATGTGCAGACGGTCTGCCCCAGACTAGAAGGTCTCTGGCGTCTCCACCCACTGGGCCCAGGGAGGGCATCTGGGGCCATGCCTGCAATCTGTGTTTTGATTTGTGTTTTCTCCAGAAAGAAAAGCCCCGAGTCCCTGCGGACACACTCACTGCCCACTACTAATTGTAATTTTCATCTTATTTACTAATTGTATGTATTCTTATGACACTGTTTACTCACAATCCTGCCTATTTATATACTGACTACTTGAAGTACTTCTTATCAATCTGTGGATGTTGATGTAATACGGGTATTTACTCTATGTGTTTTAATGTAACGTCTCCCTAGTGGGAGTCCGACTGCTAGGCCTGTCTGATGCTACCTTTGAGAGCTGTTTATGGATCCGTGTCCCTTCTCACCTCGCCAGTGTGCACCTGTAGAGACAGCCGGGCCTGGGCCGTGGCCTGAAAAGCCACGAGGCTATATGAAAGGCAAATGACTGCACGTCAAGTCGCTAATCATTCCTAAACAAGGTGGAACTATTATTTCATACGCTGCTTCCTACCAGATCTCATATACACATTGCCATCTGTTACTACTTGAAAATTCTCAACTCTTTCATTTTTCTAATAGAATCTTCTCAATACAGGATTTCTATCATGTAGACTAATTACTGATTCTCAACGCTGAATATTAAACACATAAATCAAAAGTGGGTAGATCCTGGTTTTTCTCTTAAGAGAAAATATAATACGTAAATAAAAGCCAGGCTGTAAAACAATAGTGAGATTGCTTAGAAAGTTCCAAAGTGTTCCTCGGAGAAGATGGCGGAACCTGCAGCAGTACCCAGGGACTCCGTCTCCCCAGTTTCTCCACTGATACCTGTCAGAGCGTTTGAACCCTTTCAACAAATGACGGGTCTGACTCGCATCAGGCATTCATAGGATGCTATTCTGCAATGCATACCACAGACACGGATCCATAAACAGCTCTCAAAGGTAGCATCAGACAGGCCTCGCAGTCGGACTCCCACTAGGGAGACGTCACATTAAAACACATAGAGTAAATACCCGTATTACATCAACATCCACAGGTTGATAAGAAGTACTTCAAGTAGTCAGTATATAAATAGGCAGGATTGTGAGTAAACAGTGTCATAAGAATACATACAATTAGTAAATAAGATGAAAATTACAATTAGTAAAATAAGATGACCTCTGATTACTCCCACGAGTAATCAGAGGTCATAATTACCGTCCCCCACCATGGGGAGTTATTTAGGATACTATGATCTCTTTGCTTCCTTCTGGGAATTTCTCCTGAGGGGGACAACATCTGCCTGTATGAATTTATTTTTGGTAAAGAAGTGCAATCCAATACCAGGAGAACAACCAAATAAATTGTGGCATCAGCCCTAACACAGTCATTATACAGTAAATTTTGAAGACTATTGGCAACATGAACATAACCATACCAGAATTGCAAGTTGAAGGTACAAAAAGCAATCAGAACGGGTTCTGAGACACGGGAACATCTCCAAATCGTCCACACGCGTAAACAAGAGAACAGCCTGTGTAACACTGGGCTTGTCTCTCTCTAGCTCTCCACACAGCTTCCGAATACGACAAGAATCCGGACACATCTGCGGAAAGGGACAGCGGGAGGTCGATTTAGAAGAGAGACACAGCTGCCGGGAAGCCCAGGCAGAAGCGTGCAGGGCGTGGAATCCCGAGCGGCTTGCACTCGCTCAGGTATTCTCCGCCAGCGCGCACGCATGTTTCAAAAGCACAGAACCAGGAGAGAAGGCCTCCTTGCGCAATTTGCTGCTCTTCGCTGGTCCGTGGGCGGCGGGTGTCTGTGCCACAGCCCTGGCGGTGCAGGTGTGGGTGAAGGTTCACCCTGAGCCGGGGCCAGCGCCGCCCCAGGCCGAGATCACGAAAGCACCCTGTCAGCACTCTCAGACGCCCCGTGGCTTCCTTCCACACCGCCTCCTCGCTGTTGCATTGTCTCCCTTCTTTGAAGTCGAAGGGCTCTTACTCCCAGCCCCCCACTCCGGCCTCCCAAGCTGCCTCCAGAGATCAGCTGCAAACAGGGCGGGGGGCTTAAGCGCTGCGTGCGATAGGCAGGGGCGTCTCGGGGCAAACACACCTGGCCACTCGGAGACCAGGCTCCCGGGTGTCCACTGGCCGTCTTCTCATTCGCTGTCACCCTCAGCACCTTCGCAGGCCGGCTGCCCAGAGGCATTGCACGCAGGGGAGCAGATGTCCGCAGCTGCGTGTGAGCCACGGCCGCACGGAGAGAGCGCGCTCCATGAGGACGGCGGGCCCCTGCGAGGAGGGTCGCACACCCCACAAAGGGCATCCCCGTGTTCGGGTGCCGGTCCCCAAGCCAGCCTCTGATAACCTTTTGAGTGTTACCCATTGGCTCTGCCCTCGCTGCCAGCACGCAGGGTGGCGCCGGATCTGCGCGGCCCCATGTTACCACCTGTCTCTGTGCCGCTGAAGAGTCTCCGGGCCAGAGCTGAGTCCGGTGGTTGTTCCCATTGCCGCGTCTCAGATCGGGTTCCCGAAGTAAACCCTAAGACAAGGAATCGAGTTATAAGTAGGGATCTAGTTGAAATCGAGTTATCTGGGAGGGGATCCCAGAAAGCACGTCTGAAGGGAGGGAAACTGAGCCGGGAAGGAGAAAGAAGCCAACAGAGCGTGCGTTTTCCGGCAGCTTCCCACAGCACGGCTTGGCGGTTGCAATGTCATTTAGTCCTCGCTGCAGACCCCAAGGTGCTCACTGTTATTATCCCCGTATACAGATGAGGACACAGATCTCAGGGAGACCAAGGGCCCTGCCCCCGGCCTTGCGGGGGTGGCATGGGGCAGGGGGTGGGGGTGGGGTCCACGCTACCTCTCTGGGCCAGGGCAGCTCAGCCCTGCCCCTCCTGTGCCAAACCTCTGACCACCGCCGGGCAAGCATGCCACCACCTGGCCGAGTAACACTGAGGCGAGGGTGCCACCATTCGTGATTAATTCCAGGAACGCCGGGCGTGGGAGACCCAAACTGCAACCTGGGACAGGGAGAATGGAGGAGGGTGAGGCCAACCCCTCGGGCTGCCCGCCTCGGCTCTGAGGGCTGTTAATCTAGGTTCCATGAAGGAGCTTAGGATGGCGTCCAGACCTTTTGAAATGGCCTATAAATTTATTTGCCCGTGGGAGTATACACTCTTTTCTTGGAAGCAGGTTCATAATTTTTATTAGAATCTTAACAGTCCCTGACCCCCAAGTTTTAACACCACCTCTCCACTGGCCCATCCCAGTGCGAATGCCGCAGGTGCGGGGCCCCGGACTGTCTCTGGACACAGGGGACCTGGACACCCATCCTTCCGCGTGGGTACAGCCCACGGGCCTCGCTTCTTTCCACGGCCTACTTTTAATCTTCTGTTTTCATCGTTTTGCTACTACTCTTTATGAGCCAGGGTGAGCACCTTTCTGCAGGGAACTGGAGGGAGGGACAGCACACACCAGCTTCGTGGTCGACATGCTCCCTTCCCTCATCTTTACTCTCTGCACTCTCGCCAAGAGCTATTCTTTCCTTACCAAATCCAGTTTTCTTTCTTCCACTAACACAAGTTCATGCTCTTTCAAGCAAGTGAATGCGCTTCGTTTAGGCCATCCCCCTTGCAGATTATACCTTTTTTCATTGCCAGGCTAAGGAAATAAAAATAAACTATTAAGAAAGTGTTTATGTTGAAAGTAGGTATTCTAAAAAGAATAGTTCTTTTAAAAACAATTCCCAAAACAACTCTTAACAAGTTTTGATTCAAGGAGTTGCCCCCCACCCCCCCAGTGTGAAAAGCATTATAAATGGGCCGGACTCTCCCCTTCCCTTGTGCAAGGTGGTTAATATCAGGGCACGTTCCACCTGGTATTTGACTTCTTGGAAACTTGCTAAACATCTTGTGCAGCTGTAATCCCTCCCTTGATTAACTGTGATTGAGTGTGTTCTGCAGAGTAACAGGCGCTTTAGATGTCTCCGGAAAAGAAAAGCAGAACAAATCACCAAAATAAAACAGCAACACAATGAGGACATATTTTCGCAATGTGAAATACTAAAAACATGATCAAAAGGACCCACCTGAGCCAGACAGTGGGCTCTGTCTGTGGCCACAAGGAAGCCACGTCCCCTTGCCGGGTGTGGGCCCCCTACTGTGACCTTGGAGGACAGCCAGACTCGCAGTCCTCCACCTCCTATGGAAGAATCAAGGGCAAGACTGGCTCCCAGTGTGGAAAGGGGCTGTGTGCTAGAACGGGCCGGCTCAGAGCTCGCTTTCTAACTTCTGAGAAGCAGCTGGGATAAGACCAGGCCCGGTGGCATCTTGGTCATGGATGCCCCACTCATAGAAAGCCAGCAGGAAACTATGGTTCGGCTCAGGGCAGGGCTGCCAGATAAAATGCAGACCACCTAGTTAAATTTGCATTTCAGATGCACGACGAATAACTTTTCAGTAGAAGTATGTCCCATGCATGCATGTGTCATGCGTGTCCCGGATATTGCATGGGACATACTTAGCCTAAAAAAAATTATTTGTGGTTTATCTGAAATTGGAACTTAACTCAGCATCCTGTATTTTTATTTGCTTAACCTGGCAACCCTAGCTCGGGGCAAAGCAAGCCTGGACAGGTTGCGTCAACTCGTCTTTCTGGGCACGGAATCCTTATGGCGCTCGCAGGTTCTGAAACTTCTGAAACATGGAGTCATGCGGTGCGCGGCCTTTTTGCATCTCACTGCCTCTACTCGGTACTTGATTTTGAGATTCATCCCTGCTGTTGCCTCATCACCGTTTGTTCCTTTTCATAATTGAGTAATATTCTCTTGTATGAAAATACTGCAGTTTATCCATCCACTTGATAAGCTTTTGTGTTATTTCCAGTCCTTGTCTATTAGGAATAGTTCTGACGTGCATCTGTGAGTTTTGATATATGAGTTGTGTGTGTGTGTACATATATTTCCATTTTCTTGGGTAAATGCCTAAGAGTAGAATTGCTGGGTCTTATTATAATAAGTGTATGTTAGCTTTATAAGAAACTACAAAACTGTTTTCCAAAATGGTTGCTCCATTTTCCCATTTCTCTGATAATAATTAAATTGAGAATCTTTTCATTTGCTTAATGGCCATCTGTGAATCTAAACAAGTTGTGAGTTCAAGTCTTTTGCCCATTTTTTTATTAGGTTGTTGTCTTTTTGTTGAGTTATATACTTCTTTCCATATTCAGGACGCTAGTCTTTTTCCAGTATTTTCTTTCGGTCTGTGACTTGCCTCTTCATTTTTACGGGTGTCTTTTGAAAAGCAGCAGGTTTTACTTTTGATCAAATCTAAGTTATCAGTTTTTTTCATTAATGTTCAGTGCTTTTCATGTTCTAAGAAATCTTTGCCTACCTCAAGGCTGGAAGGCAATTTTGCCCTATAAAAGTCATAGAATTTAATCTTTTATTAACACATTTAAGTCTATGATCCATTCAGTGTGTGGATTTTAGTGTATGGTCAAAGTAAAGGTTGAGGTTCATTTTTTTTTCCATGTGATTATCCACATTTTTCCAATTCCAGTTATTGATGTGACTACTCTTTTTCTCATTGAATTACGTTGGTGCCTTTGTGGGAAATTAATTGATCCTGTATGTGTGTGCCTGTTTTTAGAATCTATTCTGCTCCATTGATTTATGTGTCTATCTTTATGCAATTTAACAGTCTTGATTATTGTAGCTTTATGGTGAGTAATTCAATCACTCGTGTGCAGGTACCTATACCAGATGACTCTACTTTCTGGTGGAACCTAAGCAGACACAACTGGGGACACATTATTGTTGTGCAGTTCTTTGTCTACATCTCTGTGTGTTTATATCTGGCCTTTATTAACCTGGATCTTTCCTGACCCTGTCTCCTGACTGATATGCACAAAGTATTGACATTGGCTATCATTATATGGTATCATTATAGAAAATAGATAGTTTTCCCTCTTCCTCTCTGCAATATTTTTTTCTTTACAGCATATAAAAGTGAAAATTGTTGAAAGTTCTTAAAAGTAAAGTTTGCTTTGCATTTTTAATTTCTTAACTTTCAGTCTTTTTCTACTTTGGCTGCAAAAACGTTACCGCCACAGACAAATGCCAGTGTTATGTACTAATCCCAGCAGTTTCAGCCTTTTTTTTTCTTCCCACAGAACATGTGGTAAGTAAAATGCCCCTTGTCTGACATACTCCTATGGCCTTATTCAGATTTCTGAGCAATTCCCCTGTGCAATATTAGAAATTCCACCTCTTCTTCTCTTGCTCAGAAATGTGCATGTAAATAAAAATAACTGAGTCACCTTATCATAGGGAAAATGTGTATTTATTTTTAAATGGCCAACACTTTTGTGCTTGGTACTTAATTGTGAATAAACAGGTTGCTTTTGCCCCAGTACCCAGGAGAGATCAGCTGCCCTGTGTTTTGTGTGACTCAACACGGCACCACGTATATAGCAGGGACTCAATACTTGTAGAGCAGACATACAAATAAGCAACGGGATGACCCTCTCAGTGATGCAAATCAAGGCCCAACAAGCGATGTGCTGCAGCCAGCTCACAACGGCTCGTGAGAGCTGATTGAGCTCGTCTCTTCCCAGCTCCACGTTTGGTGATAACCTGTCGGGAGTTTGCAGTCAGCCAAGATGGGAGTATTTACACTACGGAAATTGGCAAGAGCTACAAGTTACAGCCTTTTTTTTTTTTTTTTTTCTCTTCCAATCAGTGGGTCATCAAACATTTAGCTGCATATTGCTGGGAGCCACATTTCTGCTGGTGGAAAGGCGAGGCAACGACTGAGTTTTCATAATCTGCGGCTTTTGTCTGGAGAAAGGCAGGGCTCGCACCATCTCGCTGCGGCCGACAGACTTGCCTGAGCACACTGCGTTAATCTGCAGGACCGTGCAGAGCGCGGAGGTGGAATCCAGCTAAAGCAGCGCCTTGCAGCCAGTCTCCAGAGAGGCCCTTGGAGACAGCGGCCAGTCGTGGGCGAGGCCTGTGGGGGCGCTCTGGGCTGCGCTGCCCCACCCACGTCCACAGCGGCCTTCGTGCCACTCACCCCAGCATCTGCAGGAGACAAGGATCCCTTGTTTTCAAAATTGCTACGCCTCTTTATAGAGAGGCGCACTGTCTGAAACAAAAGAGCTGGGGAATCTCCCAGCTCGCTTTAGCTCAATAACGGTGCTGCAGCATTTGGACTACCTCCCGGGTCTTTCACACCACCCAACCAAATTGGCAGCACGAAACTTACAATCCTATTTACACGTGTTATGGGTTAGGAAGGAGTGGTATAGATTTTGTTCTAAACGGCATGGTGGTATTTCAAAAGAAGTTGCATTTCAGTTTGAATTAAGTTTACATATGACTAAGAAAGGATATGACAGTTCTTATAAACAGTGTAAACCCTAAAGGAAAGCAATATTGATCTGGGACATCACTCATGTATGAGGATCCAATATGGAATTTTCCCCCTTCATTTTGAGAAGGTTTTGTAGAAACTCGGGCATTCCATAACTCCCAGTACATCGTGCCATTGTTTC